TAACACAGTACGTTGAAATGAAGGAAAGCTTATTTATTGATATCCCCGATAAGCTACAAATATGTACATATACATGAGTCAAAATAAACACACAAGAGGGAGCCTTCACAAAGGTTGCTTAGGAGAAGTCTCAGCAGTCGGTAGAGCCCCAGAAAGAGAAGGCACCGGAGGGGGATCATTTGGAGCCTCAGTACTGGACAGAACCCTAGAAGGAGAAGGCATCAGAGGTTGATCATTTGGAGCTTCATTACGCGGTACAGCCCCAGAAGACCAAGGCAATAAATGCCTTTGGAACAAACCCACAAATCTCTGATGATCAAGTAAAACCTGACCATCAGTTTCTTTCATCTGGTCAAGCTTCCTCTTCATGTTTGTAGCATAGTCATGTGCGAGCCGGTACAACTGTTTATTCTCATGCTTGAGCCCTCTAATCTCCTGTTTGAGACTCATCACTTCAGCCGCCAATGATTCAACTTGGCGGGTTCGAGCAAATAGGCGTTGGGCCATATTAGACACAGAACCTGCACACTGAACACTGAGAGCCAGCGAATCCTTAACAGCTAACTCATCAGACCGTTTGGAAAGTAGTCTGTTATCTTTGGGAGTGAGAAGGTTCTTGGCCACCACCGCAGCGGTCATATCATTCTTCATCACGGAATCCCCAACGGTAAGAGGACCAGTAGGGAAGACGAAGGATGGGCGCCATATGTTGTCTGGAGAAGGTGGGGCTGCCTCTTCAACAAGGTTCAAGTCAAAACGACGGTCGGAGGGGCCAGACATTTTCAAAGGTGTTGAAGAGAGAGAAGAGGTCGGACAAATCAAGATCTTAGAAGTGCAAGAATGAAGCTTCTACTGGTGGAGATTCAAGTGTGCTTTGGAACTTAATGCCAGCCCCTATAAAAATCTGCACTCGACGGAGCTTCAGAAATCGAAGAGGCGCCTGCTCAGAAATCGAAGAGGCGTTTGCTTTCTCAAAAGCTGGGCTGCTTAGAGATCACGAGGGTTGATCTCAGAAATCGAAGAGGCGTTTGCTTTCTCAAAAGTTGGGCTGCTCAAAGACCACGAAGGCCGATCTCAGAAATCGAAGAGGCGCTCGCTTTCTCAAAAGCTGGGCTCCCCAGAGACCACGAGGGCCGATCTCAGAAATCGAAGAGGCACCTACTTTTCCAGCCTTGTCAGCACCTATCACACGCACACTCAGCTTTGCGGAAATTATGGGCATTCTGTCGAAGACTTCTGGTGAAGTAGAAAACACATGAATCTTACTGTTCAATCACCCACTTCCCACACGCAACAATAGCTCATGGGTACCACATATAACTTTGCCAAAGTTCTCTGCCAAAGTTGAGCACGTGAAGCTTGCAGCTCCCACTACATCGCTCTGACCAAGAAGGGTAAAAGAATAGCAAAGAAACAGCACTAACAAAGTTTAGACCCATAAATTTTGAAGGTCTAGCTACCATATTATTACCCACAAGGGTAAAGGAACAGTACCACTGCTGGATAATTGGAAAGTCCCTGTGTGTCAACCTCTGTGCTTCGTGGCAAGGTAGACTAGCAAACATGCCCAACCTTTACTCACATTCGAGAAAACACTCCCAATAAGATTGCTTGCTCCAAAATCGAAGAGGCACCGTCCTCCGAATCTCGAGAGCTAGACTCCCAACATGACTACTTTCTTAAAAATCGAAGAGAATGTAAAGGAACAGTACCATTGCTGGATAATTGGAAAGTCCCTGTGTGTCAACCTCTGTGCTTCGTGGCAAGGTAGACTAGCAAACATGCCCAACCTTTACTCACATTCGAGAAAACACTCCCAACAAGATTGCTTGCTCCAAAATCGAAGAGGCACCGCCTTCCGAATCTCGAGAGCCAGACTCCCAACATGATTACTTTCTCAAAAATCGAAGAGACACTGCTCCCCGAATCTTCGAGAGCCAGACCCCCAGCATGATTGCTTTCTCAAAAATCGATGAGGCATCGTTCTCCGAATCAATTGAAGAGGCGCTCGCTTTCTCAAAAGCTGGGCTGCTCAGAGACCACGAGGGCCGATCTCAGAAATCGAAGAGGCACCTACTTTTCTAGCCTTGTCAGCACCTGTCACACGCACACTCAGCTTTGCAGAAATTATGGGCATTCTGTCGAAGACTTCTGGTGAAGTAGAAAGCACATGAATCTTACTGTTCAATCACCCACTTCCCACACGCAACAATAGCTCATGGGTACCACAGATAACTTTGCCAAAGTTCTCTGCCAAAGTTGAGCACGTGAAGCTTGCAGCTCCCACTACATCGCTCTGACCAAGAAAGGTAAAAGAATAGCAAAGAAACAGCACTAACAAAGTTTAGACACATAAATTTTGAAGGTCTAGCTACCATATTATTACCCACAAGGGTAAAGGAACAGTACCACTGCTGGATAATTGGAAAGTCCCTGTGTGTCAACCTCTGTGCTTCGTGGCAAGGTAGACTAGCAAGCATGCCCAACCTTTACTCACATTCGAGAAAACACTCCCAACAAGATTGCTTGCTCCAAAATCGAAGAGGCACCGTCCTCCGAATCTCGAGAGCCAGACTCCCAACATGACTACTTTCTCAAAATCGAAGAGAGGGTAAAGGAACAGTACCATTGCTGGATAATTGGAAAGTCCCTGTGTGTCAACCTTTGTGCTTCGTGGCAAGGTAGACTAGCAAACATGCCCAACCTTTACTCACATTCGAGACAACACTCCCAACAAGATTGCTTGCTCCAAAATCGAAGAGGCACCGCCCTCCGAATCTCGAGAGCCAGACTCCCAACATGATTACTTCCTCAAAAATCGAAGAGACACTGCTCTCCGAATCTCGAGAGCCAGACCCCCAGCATGATTGCTTTCTCAAAAATCGAAGAGGCATCGTTCTCCGAATCTCGAGAGCCAGATACCACAGACCACTTTTCCAAAATGCTCTGACAGAGTTAAAACATGTGAAACTGGCAGCTCCCACTACCGTGCTATGACCAAGCAGGGTAAAGGAATAGCATTACTACTTGTTGTTAGGGAGACTCCTATATATGTCGACCTCCATCCCCAACGGACAGGCAGACATGCAAAAATGCTCAACCCTTCATCATATCTGAGAGGGCACTCCCAACGAAGCCTTTCGAAATATTCAGCTTTCTTTCCCCCCGATAATACCTCTGCAAACAAGCTATACTAGAGCAAGAATATCTCATATCATCAGGGTTAAAAGCAAGAGTATCCCATATCATGTTTTTTCCCTGTCTTTTCCTTTGGCCTTGTTTTTACCTGCAAGACAATGAGAAAGAGAGCAATCAGTCAGCACTTGGAATCAAGCTTCCAGCCAGGAACTGACTGCCTGGAACCCCTTACCTGGCATTGCTCTCGAGTACTCATCTGCAACATCTTATGTTTCCAGGGAAGATTCTGCATCTGCTTGAGGAACAGATAGGGCAAGTGCGAAGGATACAAGGAAGCATGTGGAGACAAGCGTAACAGCACACGTGCCGATACATCCATTACTCTGTCAAAAGCAAAAGTATCCCATATCAGCAGGGTGGAACGTACTCTAGATTTGATGGACTTGTTTTGACCCTCAAATTCTTCAGTCGGCCTTATACTCTGGAGGAAACCAGAAAACCCTCCAGCTCAGTTCAAGAATAAGCCTGTGGAAAGTTACTTCTTCAAAAGCAAAAGTGTCTCATATCATCTCTTCTCATTTTTCTTCTATTTATCCTTCATGCTGCTGCAAGATGGGGAGAAGGTGAACAATCAGTCGGACCTCTGGTTGCTTACCTTGTCTGTCACCTCTTTCAGCAGACCCCCTAGCTCGGCGACTTGGGGGACTCCTACTACATGGTTTGTATCGCGCTTGACCAAGCCTGAAACTACAAGTAAGCTTCAAGTGAAATTGATACATTACCTTGTGCATCTCCACCAGTTAAAGATACCACCCCTGGATGGAGGAAGAGTACTTCCAGAGAAGATGCCACATCTACCTATGAGACAGATAAGGCAAGTCAAGACGACACCACACTCCGATACTTAGAAGTTTCGTGATTACGAGATCATTCTCCCATAATATTTCCTAATGTCATTTATACTAAATCATTCACTTGTACTCACTAAAGGAGAGCTTGAACCTATGTACTTGTGTAAACCCTTCACAATTAATGAGAACTCTTCTATTCTGTGGACGTAGCCAATCTGGGTGAACCACGTACATCTTGTGTTTGCTTTCCTATCTCTATCCATTTATATACTTATCCACACTAATGACCGGAGCAATCTAGCGAAGATCACAAAAAGCGACCGTTTTCGCTACCTAGGATCTATCTTGCAAGAGAACGGAGAATTAGATGGAGATCTCAACCATAGAATACGAGCTGGATGGATGAAGTGTAAGAGTGCATCCGGCGTGTTGTGTGACCGTCGTAGGCCACTGAAGCTCAAGGGAAAATTTTATAGGACGACAATAAGGCCAGCGATGTTGTATGGCACAGAATGTTGGGCGGTGAAGCATCAACACGTACACAAAATGGGTGTAGCGGAGATGAGGATGCTTCGTGGGATGTGTGGGCACACGAGAAAGGATAAGATTGGGAATGAGGATATCCGAGGTAAAGTAGGAGTAGCCGAAATTGTAGGAAAGATGAGAGAAAATCGGCTCCGGTGATTTGGACATGTGCAAAGAAGGCCGACTGACGCTCCGGTTCGAAGATGTGACTACGGGACAGAGGTTCAGGGCCGAAGGGGTAGAGGAAGACCTAGGAAAACTTTGGAAGAGACTCTAAGAAAAGACTTAGAGTACTTGGATCTAACGGAGGACATGACACAAAACCGAGCGCAATGGCGTTCTAGGATTCATATAGCCGACCCCACTTAGTGGGAAAAGGCTTTGTTGTTGTTGTTGTTGTTGTTGTTGTTGTACTCCCAAGTAGTCCTTTTGTGTTTTAACAGGATGGTTACTGTTTGTTTGTTTGTTTTCTGATTGGAATTTTTATGTTCAATATAATTGAAATCAGTGATGAAGATATAATTCAAGCTCGTCGTCACTACACAAAGGCGTTGGTGGATGGAATCACTTATGATCTCTATGATGATGCCCATGTGCAAGTGAGTTTTCATGATTAGTTGTTTAGCAGCAAAAAATATAGAAACACTCACAAGTGAAAAGTAAGACTAGCTAATTGGTCTACTCCATTATGTGATCGTATAATCATAATTGTTTCCCTTTTGCAACAGTTAAAAAATTAGCAAAATCGATAATTTGACGATATAGTTTTCATCACAGTAATGTTTTGTTGGATTTATGTCACAAGTCGACTGATTTTTCCCTTCTTAGAAAACTAACTTTACCATTTAGCCATATGGATGGCATACAAAAGTGATGTACATTTTTTACAACGTCTTTGTTTTGAGCGCTATGACTTCTTAACTTTGACAGAAAACTAAATTGAAATAAAGGGTGATGTTGGGGAGACTATCTATTCAAACCTTATTTTGTAAACCATATTACGTGGTTATTAATGATTGGATAATTACCTAAGTGATGATTGCTAATATCAAAATAACTTTTTGACTAATTTTCTGCTTATCAATCTATCTGCTTATCTCCATGATTGTTGGAATCCTCAAATTATATGATTCCTGACATGCCAATTCATTGCAAATTTCACATAAATGGTTCTTTTCTACAACATTTGGGTTATATTTATATAATTTGACTTGCCATATTTCAAGGTAAAGATAACTGAAATTTTGGTTGTAGTGAGTGATTCATGTGCACAGAATGTTTTTATGTACTCTGTTTTTATTTGCTATTATGTGATTTGACAATGTTTCCCATTCATTTTTATGTTTAGGGAGAGACGAAAGAGGAACCCTACATTTGTAAGATTGTGGAAATGTTTGAGGCAATTGGTGGTATATTATATTTTACTGCACAATGATACTATAGATCACGAGACACTGTAAGATATTTCAAAAGAAACCTTTTCATGATTCTCTTTCCAAATACTTTGTTTCATGGTTTTGTTACATTAAAAAGTAAGAATCCTGCTATTGGGCGCTGAATTATTAGTTTTTCGCTTTCTTGTAGGTCATAAAGCACTGTGCTAGTGTTGCTTGTGAGCGTGTATTTTTTTCAGATGTCCGAGACGACAACCATCTGGATTGTCTTGTTGAAAAACTTCATATTATTAGGCTGACACTAAATGTATGCTTGAAGTTTCCATATTCATGCTTTTTTGGTTGTTCATGAAGTCCTTCATGAATGAGTTGTCCTTTTTCTCTCAGGTTGATCAAGATGTGAAGAGTAAATCAATTCCAGTGTGCAATTACTATTGCGACACCAAGTATTTGCTACCGTATTCTACTTTTGTCAATCTGCGAACAGGATATTGTTCTCTTTCTACTTACTGTCATGATGCTGGTTTTTCTTTCTTTCATTTGCAAGGTTCATATGAATTCACATGTTATCTCTGTTGAGGATGATGTGTTGTTTGGATAGTGAGGTTGATTCAAAGCTGTCAAATGGTGTGTGCGAAATCAGAAGTAAGGCTCCTGGACCTAGATTTGGGTTGTGAAGGGATGTCCACTGGCTTGTGCCTTGGTGCACATTTGGGCAGTGTCAATCTTGTAACAGTAAGTTCCTCTTTCTTAATTTATTTTATGTTAATCTTTTGACATATATTGAATAGACATGAAGGCAAAGCCTGATATTGTTTTCTTGTTTATGTCGTTTAGATATGGGCTGTTGACTGCAATGGATACGCTTGCAAGAGTCTAGAACAGAAGTACAGAACTATCCAGAGACAGATGTTTGTGTTTGTATCCTACCGTTTTCCTCACCTTTGATTTGGTGCTTTAATTTTTCTTCTTGTATAATTCATTGTCCAATTCACACATCAGGTCCGAAATGAAGCTGCTGAAGATTTCCTCAAAATGCTCAAGGAATGGAGAAAATATTGCTTCTGCTTAAAGTTGGTTGAGACTGACAATTTAGAGGCGGATGTCGAGAAGAGTATGCTTGAATTCTTTAGGAAGGAAGATGATGAAGAGGAAGAAGATGTTAGAGGAAATGTTAAGGATGATTCTGAAATTTTTAGAGTTGATTGCGTAGGAGTATGTTTTGGTGACCCCCAAAAAAAATGAGAAGGAAATATACCTAAAGGTATGAACTTCGAAATTTATAAATGCATGTTCTTTAAATATTTATAACGACATAGTATGCGAGTAAATGGTTAATGCAAATCTAAATTCATTAGTTCCTCATGCAAAATTTGCTTGCCTTGTGATGTATGTAGATTTATTGGAAGGGCTACAGGCCTGAGGAAGACACCTGGGAGCCAATGAATGAACTGGACTCTGCAACTATTCTTATTTATGCTTGCAGTATTATCTGTTGCATGTTTTGTATCATTTATGTAAGCAGGCTGTCGAAGACTTAATTACTGAAGGTTACAGATGATATACACATGTTTATCATGCACCATGGTTATTTTTCGTATCGTGAAAGTTTTATGCTTCCTGGTATTATTGAACGTATAATTGCGGGTTTGACATAAATTTGAAATCATAAAATGAAATATTTGCTTCAAAACGCAAAAATGATCCTACTTTCAATATTGAGAGAGATTGAAATTTTGTTCCTAAAATGGTGAGAAAAATCAAACTGCATGTTTTGATTCGGTTAGAGCGAAAGTACTAATAACGTATTGCGATGAAAACAATTTGAGAGAATGAGTGAATTTTATTTGAGAGTTTCTTAGTGTGTTACAGTGTGAGGCATAATTACTTTTATATTGTAGTGAGGCAATTATCTTGGCAAATTAGACAAATTTTCTTAATTCAAGAGGGAGAATCAATTGCATGATCCAATAAGGAAAATGACAATTCATTTGAAGAATCCATAGCTTAAACGGTTCCAACAGTTACACTAAATTAGTGGACGGACATAAATGTCTTGCAACACTATTAATTTTCGACTTTTCAAATCTTTTTTTTTTTTTACTAGAAAAAATGAGTAAGAAGACAAATAGGTCGATTGGATAAGTTATTTTGCTCGAGTGTTGGGTATACTCATGGCTTGGTCAAGAAAAATGAGATGATGGTGCTCCAAATGTGGAAGAGATTCATGTACAATTTATCGAGTAGATCCAAGGCACATCCCGGACCAAACATGAAAAAATGAAAAGAAAAAATATGTGAATAGGAATTGCCTCACCTAACAGGTGAAGTTGCACAAAAACAAGTATTATTTAAAGTGAATAATAAGGTCAATTTAAATGCCATTGCTCTTGTCCTCCTAAACCAGGTGGAAGTGATCAAACCAAAAGAAAAAAATACCCCCGCTGGAAATATTTCTCCCCAATCACAATTCAACTTTGTCCCGTTCAATTTTTATAATATTTGACCCAGGGAACCTCAGTTTGATTTTTCGAAACTAGACCCTTTTTAACACACGTTGAGCTACGTTCCTTCCAAATTCCATACGCTTTTCAGTGGTTTCCAATTGATTTGTGCATGTTTCGCATCATCCACTTTGCCAATATTTCATCCGTCATCCTACTTTTTAAGCATCGTTACCTTGAAAACTTTTTGAAGAAAATGTTATAATATTTCATTCAACTCCGGTTCTTTGGTCGCAAGTATAATATTTTATCCACCATTATATTATTGTAATTGAACTAATTCCCTCTTTCGTTCAATTCTGGGTTGTCTTTGAAAATATTTCAATTTTGAGGGATCCTACATAATATCTCTTAAAACCCAAAGAGACAAAACCCATGGGTCGATGCTTCCACCTTTTGGAGGAGACGAGAGATTCCCCACCACTCACTTGTGTTCCTTGGGACAATTTTGCTTTTGCTTACAATTTCCTTGAATTGCCTAGGAAAGGTAGTATGATATAATCAGGGATTTAATTGTCTCAACTGGAAAGGTAGTAGGGTATAATCATCCCTAAAGTTCGACCGCACCACATGTGCTACAATAAAATGGTATTTTTGTAACTTAAATTCTAGAGAAGAAAGACTAATGATGTCATCTTCTATACGTGTTAATTTTTGTTTTTCCTTCAAATATTTAAAAAGTGTTGTTTCAATAGAAAATTAAGTATTAAAAGTATACTTTATTTGTAGTTTTTTTCTTTATTAAAATCAAGAAACTTTGATTAAAAATTGAAAAAAAAATGTTTCAACTTTGAAAAAGAGAGATGGGAACCTAGTTTCTCCTTAATTAATTATAAAATTTGCTTTTTTAAATTACTAGAAGGTTAAGTTCCCAAACATAAGAAATTTTTAGTTGTGACGGGAACACAAATGGTACACCACGTGTTTTAATAGGAGTGGTGGTAAATTTTATTTTTTAAGTTATTAACTTTTTAGCACACATATCTCACCATTTGTATAGTGACACGTGATGTACCACCCAGTGTAGGAAAAATCTCTCCCTCGACATCTGCCAAGACATCTGCCATTTCTCTCTCTTTGCCAGTTTATATATCTGCATGCAAACATTTCCTGAGCATCAAATACCTCTTCCATTCAAACCATCAAATCTCAGAAACCATATCCTCATCAAGGACCTCTGCCTCCACATATATATATCTCCATCTCTACCAACCTTTGTGCAGAATAAAATGAGCTCTGTTGTTAATACTGCTTGGGATCAGTACTTGAAGCCTTTTCTCCTTGCAGTTATAGTAACGCCAACCCAACGGCTCAAACTTCTGATAATTGGTCCCATCGATCGAGATCGCGATTCCCATCGTGACCTAGAAGCCGCAAGGCAAGTTGCAGACGGGAGGACTAACAGTAAGTACGACAACAACAACTTAGACTGGGCAACGATAATTGTAGTGTTTTGCTTGACAGCGGCGATTGGAATAGCACTTCTCCCCTTCCAAGGTCCCTCCAGCCAGCTCCATCTCCCTGTAATCTTTTACTTTCTTGGACTCTCAGTCTTACTTGCCTTCACTTGTATCTTGGTAAGCAAGTTTATTCACTTCAACTACTATCCCGGTGGAATAACAATCGCCCTGATTTTCCATCAATTTGGCCTCTTCTTTGGGGTCACAGCCTTCTTCATATCCATCTCCATACCATTTCCTTTGTGGTTCAAATGTGCTGCCTTGTCTATCTACGTCGTCACCTTCCTCCTTGTAGTTCTCTGCAATCTTCACCTCAATAAATATTACAAAACTCATGGTTTTAAGTACCCTATCCCCGCCATTGATCCTGCGGCAGAATCATGCGGAGGTAGTGCTAGCACCATTGATGATCAAGCATGCACCAGTAGTATTGAGTGACGTGAAAAAAACTGTCATGTAACGAGGATGTGTGTGTGTGTATGAATATATATACACACACGGACACGCATATACTGATTAGTGCACTGGACTGCAGTACTAGTGGCTTCCTCATATTTGTCGTAGGTTTTTCAAATGTCAACCGTTGTTTATTCTGTTTGGGGTTTAGTTGTCTCAAGCCTCTCACTGATGCTATGTTTCAACAAATCTAGTTAATTAATTTGCTACTTCTATATATTTCTTTTAGTGAAAGTATTTGTGTCCACCATTCGTAAGTGTTTAGAGTTATCGAACTTCTATATATTTCTTAAAAAATAAAAAAAATAAAAATAAAAAGTTATCCAAACAGAGAGAAAACGTGGAATACAGCAAACGAACTCGCATCCCTACCATACAAAAACACGTGAGAGAATTTCCATTTAGTTTTGAAGCCTGCACTCCATGGCATACAGCAAACCAACTCGCATGGCTGCAATCTTAGTTGCTTAATATTTGCTTGAGAAATACTAAGGGATTCTCTTAAAAATGAGACACTCTATGGACTCCATGTCACGTCATATTTTTTGCACAGAAAGTAATGTTAAACTTGAGCCTAAGAAAATCCCATTAGCATTTCTCATATTGGCTTTTAATACAATATCTTCCAGCAATTAGAATGTACATGGTTCCCAAAATGTCTGTGGTTTATATTTGAATGTACCATCGTTAGTTGTTCAAAAAAAATGTACCATCTTAAGAGTTATTTTCAGGAACTCTTAAATTTTATTGCAACCTCTTTGAATTCAGGAACTCTTAAATTTTAGTTCGAATGTTTCTTTTTATGTTTGTATCAATATTTTCAATTAGTATCAAATAAATCGTCATCATTTCACCTAAAAAAGGTCATTATACGCCAATAATTTTCTAGAGTGGCATTATTATGGCATTATTTTAGCATTGTTGTGTATATGTGGACTTTTCCATTTTTCATCTTCTTTCAACAAAAATTTCATAAAAAATTAGGTAAATTCATAATTATTTGGTTTATATTTACTTGATAACCAGATAGTTTCCAAGTTAATTTTTATTTTTTTTAACTCAACGATCATGGTGAGGATTTTTTACACTATGTTTGGATGAGAGAAATAAAATTAGAATTTGGATAAAGTCAGAATTTATAAATTGACATGAACCAATTCCCTTGTTTAGATTCATAAACATAGAAATTTAGAGTTTCAGCGTGGAAAAAAAACTTGGAATTTGGGACCTCCAATTCTCAAGTTTGAATTGCATGTAAATAAGTGTCATTTCCCAATTTCTATGATTGAGAGTTTAAAACTAACAAATTTCATATTCAATTATATTGTTCTTTTAGGTTAACCAAACAAAAAAATTCACAAATTCTAGAAAATAAAATCTTATCATTTCAATTTTCGTCATTTTAAAATCCTTAGTAATATTAAATTTTTTCATCCAAACATAATATTAGAGTAGATCATACTGTGAATTTTGAAACAAATTCCACTAATCTCTAATAACAGATCGTCAAATATATCATGTACTGCTCTTCAAACTATATCTTTAATTTGCCTTTCTTTTTTTTTTTCTTTTTTTTTGGAGAACTTAATTTGCCTTTCTTTGTAGTCAAAAAGTATAGCATTTCTGGCCAAGAAAAAAAGTGAAAAAGTTAACCATTATGCATCTATGGGTGTCACAACTTTAAAGCCAATTGGACCGAGCCTCTCTTCCTTGTCTTTTCCACCTCTCTTCCATTAATGGAAATGAGAAAGCAAATGCCTAACCTTCTTTCGTGATGAAAATGTCATGCATTAAAATGGGGCACATTTGTATAGCTTAGGTAATCAAAATGGATAGATTTGTATGCTCCTCCATTTGTAATAATGTTCGAAGTTTTATAATTTAAAAGAATTAGAGTATTGTTTTGGGAAAAAGAAAAGGATTGTTTAGCCAGGCCAACCAAAGAAACCAATTAGATTTTTTTCCCTTCTTGAAATGGGGATAATTGGTGGCAAGCCACGGTTATCTACCTCTTTCGGGGGCTGGAAAGACTCGCAGAGGCATTTCAGCCTCCCCCTAGCCACAAATATGGCTTCCACACCAGCAGCGGGTTTCAAACCCGAGATCTCCAATTTTTAATTTGAAGGAAGCCTCGCAATCCACCATTTACCACTAAGCCACCAGCTCGTGGTTAAGCGGTTTGACGTTTGATGACTTGTTTTTCTGAAAG